TGTCATCAAACGTCACGGTATGAGGTATCATTTCTATGCTGATGACACGCAGATATACGCGACATTCAACCCCTCAGATGCTTTACAGTCCAAATCATTAATGGAGGAATGTATTCAAGATGTCCAACTATGCATGGTTGCGTAAAAGCTTAAGCTCAAAGGGAATAAGACGGAACTCCTTGTCCTGACTGCTCGCCATCGTCCTCAACCTCCACTAGATTCGATCAAGATCGGAGCTGACATTATTAAAGCTAGTAAATCTGCCAAGAACATTGGTGTTTGGCTTGATAGTGTGCTTTCTATGGATGAACAAATAAATAACATCTGTAAAACTGCCTTTTTCCACCTTCGTAACATAGCTAAAATTAGAAAGTTCCTCTTGCACAGTGTGAAATACTTATTCATGCCTTTATTTCGTCGAAGTTGGATTATTGTAACGTTCTTCTATCTGGCCTACAGCAGTCACAAATTAATAGACTACAACATGTACAAAATTCAGCTGCCCGCCTACTTACAGCCACCAGCAGATATGATCACGTTACGCCTATACTTACCTATATTTGCTGCATGTGTCCACCCGTATTGATTTTAAGATACTTCTTCTTCTCGTTTTTAAAGTATTAATTCGTCTGAGTCCTCTGTATCTTAGTGAACTGTCAAGACCGTACATTCCTAATAGAAACATAAGATCTTCTAAGAAAAAACTCTTAATGGTATCTAAATGCAATCTTAAAACATATGGGTATTGAGCGTTCTCTCATAGAGCTCCTACTCTGTCGAAAGTCTTGCCGGATGACATAAGGCAAGTGGACCTTTTAACGACATTTAAGTCTAAACTTAAAACCCATTTATTTAGGCAGTTGTAGTTTTCGCATTCATTGATTTTTCACTAGTTTTTTAATTCACTTTAATTCTTTATTGATTATATTTTTCCATTACTATCGTTGTAAAGCGCCGCTGGATCTTTGAGAAGCGTTGCGCTGTATAAGCTATGTATTTTATTGTAATGTATTTGAGATGTAAGAAAATTTTTGGGAAAATTTGAGCTTCATTGTGGATTTATAAAAGGACAATTTAGTCATTAAAACCGGTAGATGAGATGTGCATTGCTGAAGACATTGACAGGAAGCAAACTGATACTGCTGTAGATGTAACATACGCAAGTGGTATTCATGCAAGGCTGAAATTATTTAAATCACAAAAGAAATTTTCCTTCTTCCCCTCTTGCGGTTTTTCGGCCACGAAAATCACGGATAATAATATGTAAATAACAGTTGTTCTGTGCTAAATGGTTTGAACCCGGGGGTAACATGTGCAAATGCATTGTGATCGTCTGGGTGAGTGTAGTCCTGAGAAGGACCGTTGTCGGTGGTGGAGACTGATGTTTCGACAACCTGTGCGGAAGTCATCATCAGAGTCAAGTGAATAGTTCTATTCACTATTCATGTCGAAACGTCAGTCACCACCACTGACAACAGTCCTTCTCAGGACTACACCCACCCGGACGATCACACTACACTTTAACATAAGTTTTGCTCGTCAGATAATATAGAGTACGTTACCTTGGAAGAGTGTCTTACTGAAAAGCAGAGATAATACTGTAGGAGGACTCACCCCCACCCCGTTGAAAACCCATTTGATAACTGTTTTTAACTGAAAATAATTAGACTCAGTCGTGAGTGGATAAAGACACTGTAGCACGGTTTTTCTCGGTGATTATCAAACAGATGGCATCGTTAGACGAAGGGACACTAAAATTATTATGCTAGAAGAAAACAATAATGCGTTGATGAATTGAAACCCGTTACCGGCTTCAGCATCACCTCCCCTCAGGAATTTTAACTTTTGAAGACTGGTTCCCGTCGCCTTGGCCAAAAATCATGTTCAAATGCTCTACCTAAGTACCAGATTTTAGTGGATCTCAATAAAGTTAACCGTTAGCCGTAGAACGGAAAGAAATCAGCCGTTAGGCGTAAAAAATTGACAAACTTTAACCGTCAATCATGAAAATCGTTAACCGCAAAAAAGTTAGCATTAGCCGTACAAAGTGGCCGAAATTTTAACCGTTAGCCGTGAAAACCATCTTCCCATAGAAACCCTCATTTGATTATCACATCTGTTGTAAAAGGCAACATAAGCGACCGTGACTTTCTGCTTATTGACCAGCAATTGATTTGAATATTCAAGCTTCAAAACCTAGACCTTGTAGACCCTATCTTCTCAGCCATTCGCTTTAAGTGCCGCCATATTAAAAGGTAAACTACCAGTATTCCACTGGAAGGAATTGACCCTTCAAGTTCAAGTTCCCTTCCCCACCTTGGCAAGGTTCAAAGGACGACATCCTAAAGCCTGTGGGTTGCCCCAGATATGAAGTTCCGAATTAATCGGTGTATAACATCACTGACACAGATTCAACATTTTTTGAACGTCAAAATTTAAAAAAAAAAATTGTCAATTTGTATGCTAAGCAAAAATAATTCGATTGAGTTAACGACCAGGCCTACATTAAAAAGACGGGTGACTCCTCTACAATTAATTTTAAGCAGAAAAACGTAGGCACGAGGTAAAAAGATTGCAAGGAAATGTATTTTCGAACAAAAAACTCAGTGAGAAAATAAAATTTCGATGAAAATACCTCGAGCGTGAAGGTTATAACAGCTTACTATCATAACTATCATAAGCCGTGCATTTTTGTTCGCGAAAGCCAGAAAATTAAAAATCAAATACTGAAAAATGTTGCCCCGAGTGCCATATAATAACAAACCTAGTAAAGATAACGATTTGCTGTCTGCTGTCTCGACCTTCTAGTAAAATCACTGGCTCGAGCTGCATTGGGGAACACTGGCCCTCGGTCGTATACGGACCTTGTTGCACTCGTTTCCTACAGCCACGATTTCGGGCCAATAATCCTCAGTGCGGCCCTCGCGCTAAGTTAGTAAGAAGTTTTTCTTTGTGACAACTGCTAATTCGTCTTCCCTAACACACCATACGTAACAAAGAAGGCTGCCTCATGAAGTCTCTACAAGCAAACCACAAATTTCAAGAAAATCTTGAACAACGTACGTGCAGTGCACGTGCCATTTCGGCAGTTTGACTGGACCGACGCTCAGCAACAGTTTGGAAAACTTCCTCGAAATAATAATTTTTAGAAAAGAAAAGCTGAAAAACAGGTTTGCTGGAAAATTGTTTTAAAAAATGCCTTACTAATTCTGGGATCGGCCTGGCGTGTTATTCCTTTAGCATGGCTGGATAACCTTTCTAGAATGCACCGCATCTTTGTGACCCTCTCCTTAATCCAACGCCTAAAGAACAGTGATGCCCGGAACAGGTGATCTAGTCCGATTGCTGGAGGGTGTATTAAGAATTCGCACTCGATCTAAACTTAAATCTGTCAGCCTTTAGCTGTTCAGAAATGACTTTATGGCACGGCATTAGTGGATTTAACATCAACTGAAGTATCAAAGGCATAACCTTTTTCTCGACACAGTTGTTTTAGTTTGCGAACAGTTTCCAGCCCAACCAATGCCTGAAAGATTGATTTCCATTTCCGTGAGTTTTGTAACTAAAACTCTCAATCCCGGAAAAACTATCTTAACTCAGCTAAGATTCTTTGTTTGTATTAGTGATTTCAAATAGCACAACCTTTATTCAACATTTATCCTCAGTTCTAGTTCACCTTGGTATTCTTCTCCCATGTCACTCATTTTGTACTTTGCCTCTGTTCTGTCTTTAGTCTGACTTTTGATCCTTTCCACTCAGTTACGTTCAATTCTGCATGAGATCCCCGCTGCAAAGTTAACAAGGCTCACAGCGATGACTTACTGATAAGAAAAATGATCACATTGATATGTTTATTAAAAACCTTATTCAGGGATATTCGTGACCGTAAAATTACAAGATGAGAACAAGATTGAAGATTGATTGTGTTTCATGTGCACTGGTATCAGATTGCTTCCCGTCTTCAATGTCTCCAACAAAGAACATTTCACCTAATGGTATTACTTAATAATTGAATTGTCCTCTTTTAAGTCCACAATGAAGCTCATTTTATTACCCGAAAGCTTTCTTAAAACTCAAATGTGTTCGAATATGCCAAGAAAAACGGACGCCCTCCGCTAGCTTACGGAATGTGATACATTTTTAAGAATTTCGCTATGTGACATGGACGAGAATTTGAAACGAAAGTAGAGATAGAAACCAATCTGTCGTCGTTAGCTATGTAAGGCTAGCTTTATCGTATTTGATTTCCTGATCGAACACGGTGCTAACTGGTAAAGTGAGCTTGGAATTCCGGAGTCAACTAGAGGCTGCTTAATTAGATTATGTCGTGACGTAAATGCAGATGTTGCGATTTTCACAAAGTTCGTGCGGAAATGAAAAGCCCCGAACTAACTTTTTTATCCTCGAAAACAACACTATTTCCACTTATCATGAGCGTAACCTGAACCAATTCTGAGTTACACCACATGGGGAAAATGATCATTGAAAATTTGCGACAAAATGCGATATTTGGATTTTCAAATCCAAATTAGATGAAATGGTCCCGTTTTAGAGTTAAACCATACCTCAATCCTTCCTATAAAAATTGATAAAATTGATAGGAGCTTGCTTTCTATGGTGTATTTCATAAGCAAAGTTCATTTGTCTCTACTTGGGGCACTGATTTCTGTCATTTTATGACCTCCGACGCTCAT